TGGGGCCAGCTTGGAAACAAAGACATTGGTTGCAGAATTTGCAAGATTTGTACCTTCAGTTTTCATGGATCTAAAGGACTGCCTTTTCAATGTTTTCTCATAGTAACTTATAAGACCTGGAATCACATAATCACTGAATTTTAAAGCTAGATAGAACATTAGCAAGTGTCTATCGTGCTGTCTTACATAAATGATAAGAGAAGGGACCTGACTAACTAGGGATGCATCTGGATCAGAGCCTAGCTCTGTGGATTAACAGCTCAGTTCTGTATCCTAAAGACAGCGCTGATGCTCAGAAATTCCCAAATCAGATTCACTGGAAACAAGGCAAGTACCTTGTAAATTAGTAAATTTTAATAATTAGTTGCATGGCTAGAGAAAACCATTGTAAAATAATAACAATGTGCCAAATATAGGGATAAACTCATCTTCATTTACTATCTTCCAAAAGCAGTTATCAAAATATCAAGGGACTTACATGAGAATAAAAAATCTGCATTCAGAAATTAAAGCCCAACCAAGTCACTTGCATAAAGAATCATCTCCCTGCACCCCCGCAAAGACTAAGACGTAAGTTGCAAAGACCGATCTTAACTTGATCTCAGGATTTAGGGAGTCTTTGCTACAAACAATTTTGCTGCTCTGAGCTCAGGCCATGGACCTTGTGAGCAACCCAGGGAGTCGTGAGAAACACAAAGGATACGAGAGCTGTCACGCATGAATCAGGGGGCTATTAATTTGCATTTATTGCCTTGGGGGTGGATAGAGCTGGATGCTCCTGGAAGTACTGGTGGCATTAGGAACCCAGAGAGGTAAGGCCTGGAGCTCTCGCCTGGCTTGAATGAGTCGTCATGCAATGATAAAAGCAACAGCACTGCACAATCAAGTCCAGCGAGCAAGGTCTGAGCAAGTTAGATCTTGGACTGAGTTTAAAGTTTTTTTAAAAAAGGCTGGCAAGAGATGGCACTTATTTCCTCTAGCAGATGACACTATTCTCAATTATGTTAAGTTGCTTCTCGGGAAGTGACTGGCGGCTGCTGCTCTAGTGGCCGCAGTACCAGGATGTCACTTTGGTTTTCTAAGTTAGAGATCTATACTTTTCTGCAGCTCTCCTTTTCCTTATATTTTTCTCCTTCAGTGACAAGAACCTCAAATTTATTTTACTATTATAAGAATAGAAAATTACTGGTGCTTTAATAAACCTGCATTTTACCTTTTATTTTTTTTAATCAAATGAGTGCACACCTCAGATCCCTGGGATGGATTATTGCTACCAACTTTCCATCTGAGCTCACAGGTCAGGTGGCATGAAGGAAGAATGGGGGCAGTCATGAAATGTGCTGTATGTCCAGCCAGCATTAGTAGGAATTCAGTTGCTAATGCAGGCAGCTCCAGCTTGGAGAGCAGCTCTCCTTCACCATCACTGCCCTTCTCGCCATCTGCAGCAAAGGCGTGAATGGAACATAAGCTGGTCCTCAGCCCCACCATAGCTCCACCTTCCTATGTCCTGTTGATGAGAGGGTGGCCCTCACCCAAGGACTCAGGTAGACTCAAGGCCTCAAGGAGACATCCAGGCCCACTGTGCGCAGGGCTGAGAGGCCCCAAACAGCTGGAGAAGTGCTGGAAAGGAGCACGTGTCCTGTGGAAGGCACATGGGTGGGCTTCGATGGGGGCTTTGGTGAGCCTGGTTAGGGGCCAAGCACCCTCCTACACACACGAATGGACACAGTGAATGTAGTCTGGTGCTCCTGGATGCTGGCTTCCCTAAGGGACATCTTAATGTGAGACAGTGTGCCGGCGCCTTATCTCAGAGTTGCAAGGACCCAGCACAGTGGAAGTGTGTGACAGTCCCTGGGAAGTGTCTTCCATTTGTACCTTACCAAGGAAAGTGTTGCTACAGGTTCCATTCCAAGCAACTTTCTCTACTTTTCCTAATGAACACTCTCCCCAAGCTCTTGGTTACAAAGGTAGATCCAAAAATTGCTCTTAAGAACTTTTCACAAAATGTTCTTCTACTGAATTAAATTCTAAATTCGGAGGGAGTAAGATAGAAGAATGCACGTGCATCATGCCCGTGCAGTTCGGGGATGACGGGCACCCTAGCAGAAGACAAGAGGAGCGTCTCTTGAGATAGGCTCCGACCTGGAGCACCATGAGGTTGGAGTTAAGAAGGACACACTCTTGCAGGACCAGATTGCTACAGAACCACAAGGTAAGACCTGACCATTCACTCCTGAGTGTGGTAACTCTTAAGCATCTTCAGTGCTAGCCTAGTAGAGATTAATAGGTATCTACCATTAACATGGGCCTGGCAGTAATGTACACGGAAAAGAAGCTCCTGTTCAGCCTAAATTGTGTGTTGTGTTGTCCTGTCCCAGCCAAGGCCAGGCGACGTCTCTTGGTGGGTGCCGAGGCACACTTCATTCACACTAGTGGTACACTTTACGGGCTGTAGTTCACGTTCATTGCAACCGGCTATATTTTTCCTCCTCTGTTCCTGTGCGTCGTGATCTGCATCCAAAACCTCAGCTGGCATCAGCAGGGCTGCGCCTCTGACCTGTTTCTCCTCCTCACTTTCACTCTAAAATATCCCCTCACCCTTGGCAACTGGGGGACATGGACAGGAGGACACCAGCACACCTGCAATGTGCCAGGCTTGAGCACTGTCCCTAAGCTACTAGCAGGGAGAATTTGGGTATCTGGGATCAGAGGAGGGAGGACAGGGAGGCCTGAAAGATGGAGTCACCAATGTCATCTCCGCCTTGCTAGCGACTGCTAAAAATGGCACGTTGCTCTGCGAACATGCTGGTGCCTCCCAGGCAAACCGACCTTAGAGACACACTACACTACCTCCTGATTGTTTTGGTGCTGACTTCTCTTCTGTCTCTTAGTTAATCTTCTGCTACTGAGTTTCCAGAGTCAGTGAGGATTGGCTAAAATCACTCAGCTGATATTTTGTATTAAAATCCACCTTCCTTCTCATCTGTGGCTAGACGCAAGGTTGTGATGCAGAGAACAGACAAGGAGGGAAGAGCCCCAGATACTGGCTGATAGGATCTGAGATTATTTGAGATTATTGAACAGCAAACACACAGAATTTCTAGCTTGTGTGTGCCTGTGTGTGTGTGTGTGTGTGTGTGTGTGTGTGTGTGTGTGATTGACATATTACCTCCAAGAATTACTCAGATCCCAGAACTACCACAGGACTTGACATTTGTCTCAAGAACGGATGAGGGGATGGGAGAGAGCAGGGTGCTGGTAGCCCGGCCAGGGCCTGCTGAAGCTGCAGAGGCGTGCTCCTTTCCAGAGCCCTACTCCCCTCCTTCTTGTGAGGAAAACAGAGGTGGCCTCATGACCGTTCTGTGGGTCACACAGCATGCACTGGGGAACACTCCCAGAAAACCCTGGGGGCCCCAGGGGCCCTCCGTCTCCCTGTCCTTCGAGCTCAGCCAGGCCGGGCTGGCCCACGTTCCCACTGTAGAAAGAGGTAGCACACCAGGTGAAGAGGGACATGGAACACTTTTTAATGTCAAGTCAGAGACAACCCTTCCCTCCCGTCCCCAATCCCACTTTCCCTCATCACATCCAGGACCCCTCCCCGAGGCCGCTCTGGCTCCCAGACTTCAGGGGAGAAAAAAAGATTACCTAAAAACGGCATTTTTGTTCTCTTTCATACGCACTCACACAAACCTGGGAAATTAAATAAACTAAACCAAGAGGATTAAATTCTCCAGTGGTCCCGAAGGCATCGAGATCCCCTCAGTGGCTAAAGCGAGTGTTACGAAGGGTTTAGTCGGTTCGAGGCTTGCTGTCTGTTAGCGCCCGAGGCCTCGTGGGGCAGCCACCCAGGCTACCCGCAAGGGCCGCCGCCACAGAGAGCCACGCCTCGAGCGATGCCGTGCCCAGCATTGCTTATCGTTGTCAATTTTTTTTCTTCTCACTTTTTATAAATGTCTCTGACATGTAAATAATCCAAGAAAATAAAAAGGCAGGAGCTGAGTACACAATTACCAGTAAACTCTATCGTCTTTTAGAAGGTCAACACACAGCTAACGCCATATACAGCATGCAGTAATGTCTGAGGAAGGATTGCTGAGAAACAAAATGGCTAGAACTCTAACAAAAAAAAATATATGTATATATATATATACTGTATAATATATGTCTCAAAAGAAGCATAGCCAACAGACCCAGATACAGTGTGCTCAGCTTTCCACTGCCAGACAGGATGGAGCTAGCGCAGCACTGTCTGCATGAAATGCCAGAGAAAGGAGAAATCTGTAGCGCTGGTGGATATGGTGATTTAATCGGTTGTGTTTTTGGTGGAAATGCCAAATCCTCACCAGGTGGTTAGGGCCTGGTGTGTGGTCCACCAGTTGTAAACCTAGTTAAGAAGTACACTATTCATCTGTAATGTTTAACAAACATACACCACCCCTCTCGTGTGTGTAGTTTTTAGTTTTGTCTCATTTTTGCACTAAGTGCTAGACTCATATCAGAAAATATAATTAATAAAATTAATAATGAATCAGAATCCCTTATTATTCATGATGTCCATGTAGTCACATGGAAAAAAAAAAGGTTTAACAATATCTTTTGTGACTGTTGTTTGTGGGACTGTTGCCGTCGGGCTGTCTGGTGTCCTTTTGCTTTCTGCCTCACATTCACATTTGCGGACACACACAATGGAGGCGCCGTCTGCCCGAGCGCCCGCCGCGGCACATCTGGGCCACGTCCCACTCTGCGTTTGTCTCTATGGACTGATGGGCTTTGGGGTGGCCAAGTCCAGAATGTTCCATGGCGGGGCACTTGGGGGGCAGAGCGGCAGAGCCCTTGCCACCCTAGCGACAGCGATCACACGGTGCAGCTTGCGGGTGGGTCCAAGCCGGGTGTGCATTCTTCCCGTTTGGGAAAAGAAAGAAAACTCGGGGCTACCTAAATGTCTGCAAGGCATTTTTTCAATTTCCTTTTTTTTTTTTTTTTTTAACTTTTTTTCCTTTCCCAAAGTATTCTTTGCTCCCCTCCCTCGAATTTCTGTCCCCTTAGGCTGTGATTCTCCGATTTTCGCTGGGTTCTTTCTGTCTTCTTGTTGCTGTCTCGTTGCTGTGCGGTGGTGTTGGTAGGTGCGGTGGCGGCAGCTTTCCCCTGCGGGAAGTAGCACTCACATCAAAACTTGAGGAGCAGGTGCAAGACCAGAAGAGGGAGGAGCCAGACGCAGCCCGCCCTCCTGCACGCCCCGTTGCTCACTTCGCTGACGGCGCCCGGGCCTGCGGAGAGAACACAGGGGTCGTGAGCCTCCGGAAGTGGGGCCCTCACTGTTCTCTGCGCCCCGGGCCGAGCGCCGGGCTGGCTGCAGGGCAGGCACACGCTCCCGCCAGGCCGGGCACCTGCTGTGCAGCAGCCCCTCACTAGAAACGGCTTTCCGGGGCAGCGGCCTCTACTGCCTGCAGTCTGCGCCCGGAAGGCCTTCTCCTCAGCCGGAGAACCCGAGGCTCAGGGCCCAGGGTGTGCCGGTGGCCCCCGCTCCGTGGCTGCTCAGGGCCCAGGGCGTGCCGGTGGCCCCCGCTCCGTGGCTGCTCAGGCCATCACTCAGGGTCAAGTTCAAGAATGCATGTGCTTCACAGAGACTCCGGAAGTGGGGCCCTCACTGTTCTTATCATCACGGACCCCGCTGTGGACACCCACATAATCCTCCAGCTGCTCGGCCTGTGGCAGGGGAAGGACCTGTTGGACACAACAATCTGTCTGCCTGCTGCCCCGCCACGCTGGGCACAGCATCCACCTGTCAATCACCACATCTCAGGGCCGGTGGGGCGCTCCACCTGGACCACCTGGGCTCTCCCCCATCTGGACGAGGTAACAGCTGACACAGCCGGCGCATCACTGCCTGAAAGCTCAGCTCGCCTGTGGAGGGGAGGTCGCACGAGTTCTCTGGGGTGTGGGCGTGGATCTAACTAGGGATTGTGTGAGATTCGGGGTGCAGAAGGTGGCCCAGAATGTTTCTGCAGAGGGGAGAAAGACAGAGGGCACAGCTCCCTACATGGGACTCATCAAGCTGCCCTGCAAGCCTGTGACTTTTGAGATGAACCAAAGCACAGGAGGTGGATGTACAGTTCCCTACTCGCTTCCCTCAGGCTCTGAAACACAAGTGTTTAACTGTGCTGGCTTTTGTGGCCAAGAACCCCACAACAAAGAACCTTAGATGAATGTCCAGATGAATCGGGAACCTAGGAACCGGACACCTTCTTCTTGGCTCACCCACTGTGGCGTGCTCCCCTGCCTCGAGTCTAGAAGGCAGTGCTCAGAGCTGGCGGCCACTCCGGCCGGAGTCTTCCAAGGACGAGAGCATAAGCAGCGCAGCTCCTGCCTGCAAGGCTGCCCCGCGCTGCAGCCACTTCTGGTGAAATCAAAGCAGGCTTCTCGATTCCATCTGGGATTCATGACCCTAAGACGCCTGTCCCGAGGGAGCCACTGCTATGAGTTTCTTTCTTAGCTCTTCGGGATAAATGCTCATCTGGGGCAGCGACTTACAAGAGGCCACTGAGACTGCTCCCCCGCGTGTGGGGCTCGGCAGGGCAAGTGCTCTTTCTTCAGGAAGGTCCTGCTCTCTTCTTCCCTGTGCAGGAGTGAACTGCTGGGCAACACAACAGTGAACACGTCCTTGGGGACACAGGTGACAGGGGATGTGGCTGTGAAAGCCCCGAGGCTCCCGTTTCAGCTGTCGCTCAGGGTTGATCGCTAATTTGTGGTTTTCTAGGTGATGGCTATTACGTTTCTATACAAACTTCCTGCTCGGAGCGTAGCTGAAGCCACTCTGGCCCTCCCTGGGGGTCACAGGGCAGGAACCCCTGGCTCGTGCAGCAGAGCACACCTCTCCCTGCACTGCACTGCTAGCTCCCTCTCACCAAGCCTGAGGAGGAGGATACAGAGGCACAGAGACCCCCTGGGCCACCTGGGCCAGCAGGCTGCCTGGGGCATGGTTCGCCCGCCTTCCCTAGACAGTCAGCGGTCACACTGCACTTCACACCTGCGCGTCACCTAGCGAGGCTCCGCATGTCCCAGCAGTGCAGGCTGTCAGCATGTGGCTTTTTCTCGTCATCCCTGGTGCTCCTGCAAACACGGCCCCCAGCTCTGAAGCCCACTTCCTACTTGGTCCCAGCACACTCCTCCTCACACCACCCTGCTGTGGCCGAGAAGATGCCTCGTGATAAAAGAGACGAAATTCCAATCCCAACCCTGAGAGCAGGCTGTGGCACTCTGCTCTCCTGCCTCCTGTTCCTCAGGGCTGCTGGCGAGGGCAGAAGCATAACCCAGGGGTACTGCCCACAGAAGCCTGGCTCTGTCACCATGTGCAGAAGGGAAGAACACTGTGCTTCCACCCTGGGATTCTGAGCTTGGATGAGGCCCTGAGCTGGCCTGTCACCACAGCCAGCACCGCTAGGCTGTGTGTGTGGCACCCTTGTCCTTCTGCTCCCCTCTTGATTTTACTTCTGCTAGGGAACCCCACAGAAGGGCTACAGGGGCAGGCCCAAACCCTTGCGCCACAAGCTTCCTATAGAAAGCAGGAAGAGGCTCCCAGCACATCTTGCTGTAGCGCTGCCGCGCAGAAGCTTGGGGTGGCTCCTTGCTGCTTCTACCCAGGCCCAAGAGGGGCTTCCATGCTCCATCTGCAATGACACCCAGGCCCACCACACCCTCCCAGCCCTCCATCCCTTGCGGCCAGTGTCCCCATGGTCCTCTGTGCCCCAGGGCACAGCCTAGAAACCAGGCCTAGAGGAGCTGGGCAGAAGCATCAAAAAAGAGGGCAGCCTTGAGGCTGGGCCAGGCAGTCCTTCCAAGGGAGGCCACCCAGGCTCCTCAAGTATGTTTTTATGCTGACTGCAGCCTGAGATTCTCTTCCTGAAGTGACTCTGCTGCCAATCTAAGTCCTAGAACCCTGCCCCAAACTGTCCAGCTGTGTGGGCGAGTGTGCAGCACGCTGCGTGATCTTCCTGCGCTGTGTCCCCTCCGCCTCTCTTGCCCCCCTGCTCTTGTGTCCACCTCACCTATTGGGGGGTGCACCGCCACACGTGGACATGGCCAGCGTCTTCCCACTCTCGCACGCTGTGCCTCCGCGCGCGGCTCTCCATCTCATCGCCCGTGTCTTGTCCCAGCTCCCGTTCCAGCCCAGCCAGCGACCCCTCCAGGCAGCCTGCTTTGGGTGGTGTCTCTCAGCACCACATGCAGCCACTGCTCATACGTGGGCCACACTGCGCTCTCACTCTCTGTCTATTATGTACTGCTGCGCAGCGCCCTTAGCTTCCGGAGGACAAATCCCTTGTCACACTGGCCCGTGGCAGGTGGCCAATCAGTGTTCGTTGACAAGAGCAGAGAGGACGTTGCTCGTGCTGACTTGTTTAGGGTTATGTTGTCTTTCGGTTTCTCTCTTAACATTGCATTTGAAGAAACAAAACAATGAGAAGCAAAGGAGAAAACCCTCTGCCATTTTTCTGATTTACCTCTATCCCCACTTACAGATATGGGTACTCCTTTTGCTAATTCAAGCAATAACAGTCACTGAAAGTCCTGGTGCCAGGTAAATGTCTAAAGTGGCAAAGCCACCAGACCAGGAACGCCGGCCAAAGGCGTGCGGTTGGATAGGTACCTGCCACAACACTTGGTGGCTCTTACGGAGAGAGGGCGTGAGCTCTGTTATCTCCTTTCCAGGAGGTGGCTTTCCTGGGGTCCCCTGAGTCCTGTCTCCACAATTAGTTCACTAGAGCATCTGAGAGCAAAGAGACAGTGGGCTCCAGGGCTCCCCCGGACCTAGATGAGGCCCACACAAAGCACACAGCGAGAGGAGGAGCCCTGCCCAGGCGAGTGTGGTGACGGTGCCCCAAGCGCAGGCCTACTCAGGGCCCGGGCTGGGCACAGTGACAGCTTGGATCGTCTGCCTGGTGACACAGCCATGCACATGAGGCCTCTGCTCACCAGCCACACCTCCACTGCAAACTGGATGCCTTCATTGCCTCTGTCTCATTAGAGAGCTGCGGTGGCCTAAGGAGACTAATTACCAGGATAGGGTCGCAGAGAACTGTGATGAGTGTCACTTATCCATCGGAAACATCTGGCAGGAATGAAAGTCTCAAATAAGACACATTTTATTCCTAGCTAAGTGACTCACCCCAGAACCTCCCCCTTCCTCCCATTCCACCTCCCTCTCCCCACTTCCCTTCCAGCTCCAAGTTAGAGACAGAGGAAGAGAGAGGGGTAAGCACAGGGTAGCATGCAAGGCTGGGGTCTGAGAAGATCATTGCGTAAGAGCAGCTGCGAGCCGAGAGAGAGCAGGCGTGGCGCAGAGCTGCCCGGAAAGGGAGCTGTGTGGGCACTGCCAGGAGCTCATTAGTGCTGCACGAAGGCGAGTTAGACTCGTGCGAGAGGAAGCGAGCCTGCGAGGGTGGGGTGTCCCGGGGAGGGGTTAATCGAAACTGACATGGTGACGGTCAAGGCCAGGGAGGGCTCCTTGCTTCCTGGGGTGAGCTCAGAAAAGAAGGCATCTTAGAAAGAAGTGAAGAGCTTTCCAGACCCTGTCACCATCAAGGTAGCAGCTGCCTGAAAGGTAAATATACCAACCTTTCCAGGGGGTCAGAGCGGTAGTTTTCACTTCTAAAAGAAATTAAAAACAAGCCACTGTTAAGGTCGGAAGCAGTCAGAGTCACTCCCTTTGCACTCTGGTGATTTGAAGAATGGAGTGGCACACAGCCTAGACGCTTCCCCGGGCCTCTTGCACCTGCCTCTTGCTGCCCCGACGCAGCCCTGCACGCACAGGGATAGTGACCCCTTTCAGTTTTCTGGGGCAGCTGGAAGTGCACTAGAGTCTGATGAAGGGTGCCAAGAATAGTCAGTTGGAAGGTGAATCAAAATGACCACCAGTTTGGCAGAAGATGTGGCTGTACCACTGGAGCCCACGGTGCCAAGTGGAAAGACCTCTGCGAGCATCAGCTTCAGAGCCAGTCCGCACTCTGCTGTCCAGTTTGCTGAAGTCAGCAGGTGCCAAGTATGCAGCTGAGTTACACAGCAACAGGCTGAATGTAGTAGCTCACACTGGGCTTGAAAGTTCCAAGTTTAATCTGCATTTGCCTGTGCATTAGTGAATTAGCTTCCCTGGGCCAGAGAGGCTGGGATTTTGGTATGTGACTTAAATTTATGCATCCAGTGATATGAAGCTGGCCTTAGGCTCACCTCTCTGGGGCCAACTGAGGCTGTTCCTGCTGCCCAGCTGTGCTTCCTGGGCTGCCTTGTGGAGACGCAGGGCTGCTAACTTCCTCTGTGAGCAGACTTTGCCAACTTTACCTCTCAAGGCAAACCATGGCCCTTCCCAGCTCTTCTGCTGATGGCAGAGACATCCTCTGGTTTTAATATTTTATGTTTTTTCTTTATAGCTAGGGGCCTCTGCTGCTGTTCACTTTTAATATAGAAAGTGTGGAACATGACATTTTAGCCCTTTTGTGGAGGTGATACCTCTGTGATCTGTATTCTTTGTCCCAGGGTCTCCACGTGTAGCAAGATAACCTAGATGTAACCCAGTCTAAACACACCTAGAACATTTTGTTCAAAATCAGGTCAATGCCTACCTTGCAAACTCTCCAGCTAGTCTTTAAGGAAGCTGACATAGGATATTCCGCTTGATTTAAGTGGTCATTATCAACCCAAGAAGCTGCTCTGAAGATATGAAGATGTAAGAGGTGACCTATGCCTAAATGTTTTGTTACTGAGAAGAGGTGGGATAGAAAGCCAGGACGGCAGAGATGAGGCAGCAGTCGTGCTCCAGGACTTTGGTGGCTTCAGCAAGCACAGTCCTCAGGGCACTTGCTGGTCTTTAAAACAGAGAAGGTGAGCAGAAGCCATGGTCCCTTGTGAGTACCACTGACTGGTGAGAATTTTTGTGTCAAGAGGGGAGGAAGGAGGAAGGACTCTGAAGAGAAACTTGGAGGGACAACATAGACACACCACTTTCACCCCAATGCAGGGAGGTCCTGGCTCAGATTGAGCTGGAGGACAAAGAGACATTCCCATCTGGAAATTGGGAATAAGTGAAAGGCACAAGATCCTGCTCTAGATAACAGTGATTTTTTTCAGTAGAGAAAAAATTCTGAGAACCACGTCAATCTAATTGCCCACATCTAGTTTTATTCCCTGCTTTGAATCTCCAGTGCACTCCATTTGAACGGCCAGTGCTCTTCAGCATCAACAAAGGTAAAGACGAGCTTCCCATTGTACCTTGACTCAGCTAGGACTTACTCCTTGACTTTTCTAGACAGGAATGCTGGATTCTTTAAGGTTCAACAGAGTATCCTTCTGTCTCTGCTGATTACATGAGGCACACGTGAAGGCAAAAAAGACTTTCCATGAACTACAAACGCAGCCCGCTGCTTCCATCCAGTCCCCGTGCTGTGACCCGAGGAGAGACGTGGGATGCTGGCACAGCCTTCTATATGTCACCAACACACTTTTGTTGCACTGTGCGTCCAGGGCACAAACTGCGCCAGAGCCACTCTTCTTTAGCAGGAAGTTGAGTGACACAACGCTCAAGAGAATGAGGAGAAGAACAGGGAAAGGAAGAATGGAGGCAAGAACTAAAAGGAAGGTAAGGAGAAAGAGGGAGAGAAAAAAGAAAGGAAAAAGACATGTGCCATGTCTCCAACTCTGTCAACAGTCAATGACTCCGACTCAGTCCATAAAGTGATTCTTTTTTTTTTTTTTTTGCCAGAAAAGCCAATATTCATAGCTGAATACTCAGGTAGGCTCAGGGCTGCTGCCTAATTCTACTAGGCAAGAGCAGGCTGGGTGACAATGGATACACACCCTTCTAAAAGTACAGTAAGGGATTTTGCATCTTCTAGTGTTTGATATACACACAGCATAGAGATGGTTACTGCAGGATGCCTTGGTGGCTTGGCTAGTTTATGATCTTCAAACCCTGCAGGGAAGAGCTGATCTTCACTTGGATTGCAGGTGCTCTGTTCTGATAGCCAAAGTTTACCTAGTTCCCTATTCTTTAGTAAAACAGCAAGCATTAATCAATCAGTGTTTCCCAGCCCTCATATACCATCAGAAGATGGTATTTGATGGAGTGCCTAGAAGATAGAAGATGAAGCACCAGGGATGGCAAAGGAGCGCTGTGGAGCCGCTGAGCTTGCAGTGCGGCCTGGCACATCGCCTGTGTAGAGGTTCTGTGAGCGATGGAAACACAGCCCTTGGCCCGTATTTATCACTGCAAGAGTCCTGTATCACCAAATATTAATACGAGAAGGTGACATGCAATCTGTTGTGTTTGCAAAACAGAGGCAGAGAAATACTTCAAGGGTGGCCAAAAATGCTGAGAAGGACTGAAATTCTCTTATCAAATTCCTCCTAGTCCTTTCAGATATTGGGTCATGAAATAGCTCTGAACATCTCTTACAGCCACGGTTCCCTATCAGTGGAAATCCACGCATTTGTAGACATCTTTCTCATATTTCTCAGATAAGATGAGCGCATCCCAGAGATACTCCCTCAGAAAACAGGCAGCCACCTATTTTATTGGAGACAAAAAGAAGAGGAGAAAATGAACGCAGATGAACGTGGAAAGTGTGCCCAGGCGCAGGGTCAGTTCGTCTAAAGTGTTCCTGTGTGCAGACCACAGAAGGTGTCCTTGTGAGCGCATGGAGCAAACACTCCGATGGCCACCATCTGCACCCCCCTCTGGCCCACCACTGCACCCACTGGAGTGTTCCCTGGGAGAGACCCACACTGCAATGGGAGAGGAAGGAGAGGCAGCTGGCACAGAGCTGCGTCCCTCGCATCGGCCAGCTCACAAAACAGGGAGCAGAGGCAGCCCGGCTGGTCTCAGCAGGTGGAGTCTGGCGGTGCTGCTTCTGGCTCCTGTGCCCTGTGTGGACACCAGGTACAGCCGTGTGTCTGCTCTGCTTTCGGTTGGTTTTGTTGCCCATGGTGTTTGAATGGGGTCGCGCTGTTAGCTCGGCTGTGCACAACTTTGGTAAAGTGTCGCTTGTTGGTCACCATGATCTGAGTCCTTAGTGCTCCTGTCTCCTCTCAGAATGAAGTTCTATGTGGTCAGAATCAGCTTACGAACTCCGGGAAGCACCTGCGCAGCCTGCACTTCTGCTACGCCATGTGTGTGGCTCCTTTTCCAGAGGACTCTATTTTAGATGTGTGGCTACGCCTCCTGCAGGGGTTCAGAGCACGTAGGTTGAATCTGAACACAGCCATTGACTTTCCTTCTGTTCTTTCTGCTTTTTATTTCTGTTGTATTTTCCTATTTATGGTTCATCACCATGCTACTATACATCACTAAGGTGACTAATGTAGCCCAGACACTCTTCATGATAAAAGTATTTTTCCTCATCTGTCAAACAGCCTCCCAAATAATTCATTCCTTTCTATCTCCCCTCCACCTCCCAGGCTGATTGCTGCTCTCCCATGAATATTGGCACAAGCAGAATGTGAACGCGTAAACAGGAGGGGGGTAAGCAGGAAGAAGGAGGCTAGATGATTGGACTGGGAGGGGGGGAAGCCTCTTCCCCCACCAGCTGCCTTTGCTGGACTCCTCCTGGGGCCCGCACTCACCCAAAGAGGAGAGCAGCAGCCAGAGCTGCTCAGTCCAGTAATTAGAAGTGGCCATAGTGAACCTGGAGAAAGCCAAAGGGGATGCGTCGAGTGGCAAGTGTGCAGGAGTCACGCGTGCGCGAGGACTTGTAGTGGAAGGGGAGGCCGAGGGGCTGAAGGCAGGAAGTGGGTCTGCGGTATGCTCCACAGGGGCCCGGCCTTTCAGCTTATACTGAGCTTTCCACATGCACCTATTCTGAAAGTTTTTTAATATGCATTTTCTGTTGAATGTTGAAACAATACTCTGAGAGAGATAAAGGGCATCTATACATCTTACAGAGGAGGAAACCCAGTCCAAATAAGTTATAGCAAATTTCTCAAGAACAGACAACTCCTCAAGGTCAGGTTGGGAGCTAGAAGCCAGTGGGGTCCAGCATAGATCACCACCTGCTGAGGGCTGTCGTGGGACACCAGGCCTGCCACTTCTGTTAGTATGCTTTGGAAATGGGCAGGTTCACTGCTGGGCTGTCTGAATTATCAAGTTCTTGTGCCCGATCCTGTTGCTGAGGGCCAGTCGCCTGGTCTCCTCTCATGGAAGCCACTCTGTTGGGGTCGTCATGCTACAAGTTCAGATTTACTCCCCCACACCAGCCTGCACACTGATCTCTGGGTTTTGCTATTTTAGTGATGTTTCATTGTCCTCTCCCTCCCAGCCCTCCTAGGACACTGCCCAAGGGATGAGCAGAGAAAGGCAAGCTACCCTTGGCCGTGTGCAGGTCCCAAGATCCACCTTCCATAGCCTTCTACCACCACCTTCCAGGCACAGGGGCTGCTGGGACTCTCAGGGAATGCACAGGAGGGGACAGGGCTGGAAAGGGGTTCTGGGACTGAGGGCAAGAGAAAAAACACAAAGCGAGGAGGATACTGACCTTGCAACAAAGTTGAGCTTGTAGGCTCATTTAGTTCTAAGTCAGGTGAGGGACATACAGGAGAGAAAAATGAAAACAAATACATATATTATATACAGCAGCTATATATTGGTCATATATAGTTTGTATACTGCCTTTCTCAAGCATTTCTGGAAGAATGGACACGTAAAAGAAGACACAGAAGCAGAGGTGGCAGGACAAGGCACAGTGAGACACACACCGAAATGCTTCGCCTTTCACATTGGCATGAGGTGGCTGGGATGGGAAGGGGCTGGCCACTCTGTCTAGTCTCCAGTGCAGATGAATGCCTGTCGAGCGTTCTGAGACACTGATCCAATAACAAATGATCACTGTCCCTTTCCCGAGACTTTTCTCCAGTAGCCTTAACCCCACGAACATCACCATAGTGTCCTCTTGGAAGACCAAGCTCAGAAACCCATGAAGAACCCTCCAGGCACAGGAAGACAGAAGGCTCACGTGCACGGAAAGCTATGCTGTGCCAAAGATAGATGGTTCCTGATGGGAAGGACCACCTGCCCCTTCTGGCCTAAGCACCCCCCTAAAAATTGCTTGTGAGGAGCATTTCCTGAGGCCAGAACTCCTCCCTTTTCAGGGTCTATGTCACATGGAAAGGAGTGTGCAATTTATGTACAAGTTGGTGACAAAATGATGGCATTGGAGTTGGCTTTCTGTTATGAATTGGAATGCAGTCCACTGCAAATTATAGCCACACAACGTAAACCTGCTTTGCAGTCTTCTCACGTCTACTTGATGGTTCTTAATGGAAAGAGACATGGAGAATTCCCCAATACATTTATATTTGTGCAAGCTTTCTTTGATGGCGAGCCTCCATAATGAGCCTAGGAGCCATGGTAATGTCCAGACTAGGCTTGGTTAGCGCCTGTGCAGCAGAAACTCTGCTTTCCACATTTGGTGGGGCTTCGCTAGCGCTACTGAATGCTGGCCCCCAGCAGCACCCTTGCCATGGACTCCTGGGGGAACGTCTCTCAGCTGAAACTAGAAAATGGAACTGGTTTCTGATTGACTCAGTGAGGAGAGGCTGCAGACTGGAATGTCCAAGGAGAGCTAGCACAGTGCTGCTCTGAGACAACCTGCGTTTAAGAATGTCTGGTGTGTTCTACATTCATCTCTCTTTGACTCAGTCCTTCCAGACTTAATTGAGTAAGTACTGTCACTTTTTAGAGAATTCTGCAGTCCAGAAAAGTAATAATGACAGGAAAGTCCCAAAGGGCGAAGGCTGCCAATCATCTGGCCGAGCCAGGGGGGTGAATGTTGTCACACCCACACATGGGTCTACTGAGAGAGCATTTCTGAGAGAACGATTGACTGCTTTTCATTACAAACCTGGCTCCTTCACTCTTTACGAAAGTCTGCTGCTCTTTCAACCTGAGTTGGCTGAAGGAAAAAGTCTGGAGAATTAGACAAGAGTTATTAAGTCAATGGCAAAATTGTGTGTTCATCCAAATCAGAACAGTGTGGAGGGCAAAACCAGAGAAAAGCCATTCCAGGCCATGAGGACTGCCTTGAGGGCAGAGCAGGCCTGTAAAAGGGCCAAAGGGAGAGCGAGGGAGAACTGTAGAGTTTCAAGAAAAGGAGTGCTGTGTCTCTCTAGTCTAGGCTCTCTATGTGTTGAGAGATACACACCCAAAACCCACCAAAAAGTCTGATACATGGGAAGGGCACACGTGAACATTAGTGCTCTAATGAAGCCAGATAAAACAAACAGGAAGACAGTGTTCAGAGGGAAGGAAGAAGTAAGGCTAAGGAAGGGAGGGAGGAAGGGAAGGAAGGACGAAGAGAGGGAGGAAGGAAGGGAAGGGAGGAAGGAAGGAAAGGAAGGAAGAAAAGAAGGAGGAAGGAAGTGAAGGAAGGAAGGGAAGGAAGGAGGAAGAGAGGGAGGGAAGAAGGAAAGGGGAGGGAGGGAGGGAGGAGAAGAGGAAGGAAGTAGGGAGGGAGGGAGGAAGGAGGGAAGGAATCAGGGAGGGAGGAAGGAAAGAAGGAGGGAGGGAGGAACGAAGGAGGGAGGGAGGGATGAAGGAAAGGAGGGGATGGGAGGGGAGGGGAGGAAGGAAGGAAGGAGAGAGGAAAGGAAGGAGGGAAGGAAAGGAAAAATGTTAAGAAAACAAAGAAAATGGAAACAACGCTTTTGCTAACAAGGAGGGAAGAGAGGTTGAAGGGAGGAAAGGGGAGTGGAAGAATAGAATCAGGTTGTGTTGTGTACAGGTACAAATTCCCTATGATGAACCCCCAAAACGTAATTAACTTTGTAAAAATCCCAGAAAAGGTCTGCTAAGTGTGGAGGGCACTGGTGAACACCGTTGCTCCTGAGATGCAAGGTGGACTGAGGGCTTGGATCACAGAGTGGACAACGGGGCTCCTGGAGCTGTCAGAGCATCCAGGGTGCCCTAGGACCACAACAGCCACGGTTGCCAGTTATCTGTCACCTTCACGTTCTTCCCCTTCCCATCAAATCAAAAAGAGTTTCTTAACATGGAGGCTTTGGATGACTGATTGAAGGCATTCCTAACACACTAGACTTGGTGGGTCTGAAGGGTTGTGTAAGAGCCCAGTAGAACTACTCGTGTGTTTTCCAGGCAGGATCCGTGTCCATCAAGGAAGTGGAGCCCCTGCCAGGTGCCTGGGGTCACACACAGGAAGGAAGCCTGCCCTGCTTGCACCTGTGCCGACAGAAGCCTGGGCATCTGGGGACCTAGCACAGAGCCTGGGCACCCATATCTAGCTTGAACACAACTGCCAGGCAGGGAATCTGGGCAGAGCACGATGCGTTAGAGCTAGCCTCTCAATGAATGCTTAAAGGATCCATGTATGAATGACTGTGTGGTATCTTCTAAGATGATGGTTCGGATGGACAGATGTTTTACTCCAGCCACACAACACCCACTGACCAAACGGGGAGCCGGGACAGCCCTCATCTTCTTACTTCTCCTTCGGCAGCTAATATAACTAAGGATTCACAGGCTTGGGATCCTGTTTTTTTTTTTTTTTAATATACTTCAGTTTCCCTTATGTCCCATAGGTAGGGAAAGTTTCAGAAAAGGGAACATGTTATATTAACCCAGGGAGGGAAGTATGGAAGTAGTAGGCACTCGTCTGGGTACCTTACAGCTCACGCAGTTATTATTCCCAAGTCAATTCAGGAGACATCACCAAGGGACGAAAGCTAGCATTTTGGCATCCCCAAGGTCTCATCTGTTTCAGGATTTTTCGCAGTGTACAATGAAATGGATGCTCCTTTTCCTTTTGTCTCCCTGCTCCTGGTATTTGCCTTCACATGCACCCTCTCCCTGCCCCACCTAACGCAGTCTGATGCTCAGCCTCCTAGGCTCTCCTTCCGCTCCACCCCTCCAGCAACCCAACCCCACTTGCCACACCCAGTGCCCACTCAGGGCCCAGTCTCACCAAATAGTGTGATGCTGGCGTTGGTGTGACCCAGTTTGTTGGAGGCCACACAAGTGTAGTTCCCGTAGTCATGTTCAGAGACATTGAAAAAGATGAGTTTTGAGAGGAAAGGCCTGTTTTCCACTTTGACGCCTTTCTTTCCTTCAATCAGTCTAAGAAAAGAGAAACAAAAGGGGAAACAAAGGCGGTCAGTTCCTCTTGTGGGACAGAGCAGACCTGGATCTGCCCATTTCCCTCAGCCCAACCCCCCGTAGCCGCAGTTCGCACCCCTCAGAACCGTAGGTGTGCTCACGGGATGGCACGGGAACTTCCACTTCTCCCTTTTGTATGTGTACCCAGACACACTCTAGGCAGGATGTCTCACCTCACTGTCCCCATATTTAAATTCTCCAAAGACAGGTGCATGCTTTCATCCTTGGTTTGTAAATCTGCCAGTCAAACCACAACAAATGTATTGTGCCAGCGCTGTGACATTTAGAGCAGTATTATTCATGCTCAAAACAGGATTTATTGGCTGCTGCTGATGGCAGTAATGAAGGTGCTGGTGCTGGTGATCATAGAGATGGTGCCATATCACGGACCGTGTGAAGCTCAGGCTTCCTAGAAAAGGGTGACTTGAGGGCTGGGAAAGTCCCACTTTTCTAGAACTTGCATAATCAAATTTCTTCCTATGCACTCAAAGCATTCTACAGATAAGACATGTTTTTGCTGTGAACAAGAGAAAATAATAAGGGATCTTAGGGCTGGCCAACTCGCTCAGCAGATGAAAGTGCCTTCAAGCAGGCTCAGGGGCTGAGAGTTGATCCCTGGACCTGCCATGCTGGCCCACCCTCATGGCATGCGGAGATGGCAACTGAGACAGTGTGATGGTGTGCACCTGAAATCCCAGCTCTTAGGAGGCTGTAACACTACAAGTCCTGTCTAGTGACCCTAAGCACCCTGTAGATCCTTCCCTAAAATACAAAAAAAAAAAAAAAAAAAACAAAAAAGATCAGAGATCCTTTGCAACTCAGGGGTCTTTGAAGGATTGGGAAGAGTGACCTTCCAGGAGCATCATAAGGGATCAATCTGAGAGGAATTAGAGATCCCCAAGAATAGAATTCCATAGAACCAGGATAGTCTTCCTAGCCAATCCCCTCCTGCAAGCCACTATGCTCTAAGGCTCATACCAGTTGTAGGGGCCAGCAAAGAAGTGGATCAAAGATTTAAATATTAACACAGAAGCACTAAATTTACTGGAAGAGAAAGTAGGTAGCAATCTTGCAGACACAGGGGTCATCAGAGAGCTCATGAACAAAAATGAAACTGCACAGGAGAAACTCCAAAGAATCAACAACTGGGATCTTATTTTTCTAAAAAGTTTTTTCATGTCAAAAGAAATCACCAACAGAGTAAAAAGAAAACTGATGGGCTGGGAAAAAGCCTTAGCGACTGTCCCTTAGGCAAAGGTTTTCTATCTAGAACAAATAAAGAATTAAAAATAGACCCCCCAAATTCAAAGACCCAATCAAAAATGAGCATCTGAGATGTATGCACACTTCTCTGATAAAGAAATACAAACAGGGGCCGGGGAGGTGGCTCAGTGGAATAAGCGCTTCCCTGGCAAGCGCAAGGGCCTGAGTTCAATCCCCGGTTCCACCCCCCCAAAAAAAGGAAAGAAATACAAACAGAAAATAAATATATGAAAAAAGCTTCAATGTCATTGGTTATTTGAGAAATTCAGCACTGAAATTCTATCTCACCACAGAAAGAATTGCTATCATCAAGAAGTAAACCAGTAACAAATGCTGGGGAGGTTGTGGGGAAAAGGAAACCCTTCTCCACTGTTGCTGCGACAGCAGGTTGGTACAACCACTATGGAAATCAATGCGGAGATTCTGCAAAAGCTAGGATTAGAGGTCCTGTTCAACCCAGCTACTCTCCTCTTGGGTATTTTTCACAGAAGAACTGAAAAGATCATACCAGATCAATACATATGTGCCCATGTTTACAGCAATGCAAATCGTCATAGCTAAATCTTGGAAACAACGAAAATGTTCAACAGCAGAGAAATGAAAAAAGTAGATGTGATAATTTTATACAGTGGAATACTATCCAGCTATAAAGAAAGATGAACTCTCAGCTGTTATGGGTAAATGGATGCAACTAGAGACCATATTCATAAGTGACATGAATCCCGTGTGCACATCATGTTGTCTCCCTACTGGAAGAACTTGAAAGAGTAAATAAATAGGACCTGAAAGGTGCAATGGATACTGCAACAGGGAAAGAAACTGTGCCAAGGGAGGGAACAGCCGGGATGGGGGAGAGCCTAAAAGAGGAGGAGGAAAAAAGAAATCATATATATATATATATATATATATATATATATATATATATATATATATAGAGAGAGAGAGAGAGAGAGAGAGAGAGAGAGAGAGGCAGCTTGGATAGTTGTGCTGCTGATTTCCGCTGGTGTATTGAAAGGAGCAATAAATGCTCATTTTTTTCTCCTTTTTAATTTTTTACAATGTTTGACCAATTTTATAGGCTTATATCTGGTATTTTGAGCAACTAGAAGACAACAATATGTAATATAACAACCATTGTTGAATTCCTATCAATGTGTTTAATGAAATTGTATATCATTCATATTGTTTATTCAGTTTTACTATTTTTTTGTATTTTCTTTAAAACAAAAGCCATGCCACACAGATGGCTAACGTGGGCAGGGAATTTGAATTACTTATGGAACCACGGCTTCCTCTACAGGCCAAGGGAGAGAAGAAGGTGGAGCAGCTGGTCAGGGCGCGGGGGAGGGGGCCAGCTGCTCCCTTCCGCTCAGGTGCCGGCAGCAATTCCTGCCACATGTGAGTCTCCGTAGGAATTTGAGACCAATTCTGCTGCTTTTGAAAGCAATAAAATATCCTATTAGAGAATGGGCTTTAAGCCAAACTTCGCGTTTCCCTGCAACAATATGCATTCCTTGGCTAGAAGCTGATTCTACAGATAAGAAAGGGAAGTGGGGGGGGGTACCAAAACTCCGTTTCGGCCTGGCCTGGAGCAGGACTTGTGGCGAGTGCACGGTGCCAGGGTGGGTGCACACGGAGGGCTCAGGAGACGTGCATCAGGGCAGAGTGGCTGGAAACGGACTCATCAAACCAGAAAGGCCATCTTTAAGGCAGAAATGGAAGTCGGCAAGACAATGGTGAGAAGTTGCTTTGTCCGGTGCAGAATGTTGTTCAATGTAACGTTTTCCTCTGAAGTTGGAGAAGAGGGTCCTTGTCTGTCGGGGAGCCACAGTATGCTTTTGGCATAGAGGCTGCAGCGTTGTCACTGTCATTATTGGAAGGCTTCATCTCAGCGAGGTCGCAGCATGGCTCTATCCATTCCTAGAGCTGAGGGTGACATTGATCGAAAGAGAGAGGCAGGTTCTCGCTTACATTGTCGCCCAGCATCTGTCACCAGGGAAGGCAGAAGGATGGTTGGAGGGGCTTGGCTTCCTCCTCTTCGTGTATATTTTTCTCTGGAGCTTTCCTCTCCCAAGAGAAGGACAGTGAGCTGGCTTAGTCTGTGGGCTTCATTAACATGCTTGCACTATGAGAGGAGAAGGAGGTCCTGTACCTTCCTTTGGGGCCAGACTCCGCTTCTGCATTTCAGCTTGTTTCACAGGCACTGATCCTCTAGGGGTGCTGTCCACGGACAGCCTGGCCTGCAGCAGCTGGAAACTTCTGGGCTGTCCACGCAGCGGATGCCGCTTGCTTTGATGGCGAGGAAGCCCTCACATCCGTACCCAGATGTTAACGAGATGTTGGCTCTGTAGTGGGAAGGGACTTTCCCAGATTTTTTAAAATGTGTTTAATACAATGTCTCGCTACACAGTTCAGACTCATAGTGATCCTCCTGTTTTCAGCCTCCCCAGTGCTGGGATTACAGGCCTGCCCCACCACGCCCGGTCTTGGGGACCAGCTAGCTCAGCGCTCCCGGGGGCAGGGCCAGCATGGCCAGTGGTGCAGGGCATGGACACCCGGTCCTTGGGCTTGCTAAGAAGGCGCTTCGTGTGCTGAACTAGCTCACCAGCCCTCGGATTCCTCTTGACAACTCTGCGAAGTCTTTAGCTAACCCTAGTGTAGCAGAGCAGCACTGCGCAGCCTCTTCAGCGCCGGGGTGACCCTGTTACCCCTCATGGATGCACGCCCCCACCCGCACAGTTATCAGGCTCCAGTCACTTTAGGAAGCTGTAGATCTCACTGCCTGCTGCTCTTCCTAGAGGAACAGGGACAGCACAGAACTCGGTTCCCTGCCTTTGCGGGCCAGCACATCTGGCAGCACCAGAGTGGAACTAGGATGGCGCCAAAGACCCTGAGCACAGGGCCTGCCTCTGCCGCAGAGAAGCCTGCCGTGCCCAGTCCTCCTACCTCGCCAGGCTGCTCGTGGCCAGGGAGGTAAGCCTCGCGGGCCTGCCTGCAGCAGGTTGCCCGGTGGCTCCCCTGGGACAGACTCAGCTGGTTAAGGCAAAGGACATGGAGACTGAGATGTCCTTGTAACTCCGACTGGCGGGACAAAAGGCGACTCCACTCACTGGAGGACACTGGCAAGGGATTAGTAGGGGAGCAGCCACGGAAGATGGAGCCACTCAGTGGGAGGGGAGCAAGGCTGTGGCCATAAGGGCGGGGGGAGGGGAAGCAAGGCTGTGGCACCGCCCTGCCCGTGCTCCCTTCACGCTCCCCCTGGGTGCTGTGCTCAGCAGCCCTCCCGGCACCGTAATTTCTGGGCAAAATCCAGGGCTTTCTTATGCTTTCTGTTGACACTAGCCATTTGCTAAATTTAGCTTTTCTAAGTCGTTAAGAGAAAAAATAGTAAAAGAAAACACAAAAGTACTTTAGAAACAATGTAGACTTTCACTAAGCAAAATGGTGTGTCATTTGAGAAATGCAAATTAAAGCAACACTGAGATTCCATCTCACCCCAGAAAGAATGGCTAACATCAAGAAACCAACTAATAACAAATGCTGGAGAGGCTTGGGGAAAAAGGAACCCTTCTCTACTGCTGGGGGGACAGCAGCTTGGTACAACTGCATAGAAATCAGTGTGGAGATTCCTCAAAAACTAGGATTAGTGTTCCCATTGAACCAAGCTATTCTTCTCCTGGGAATTTCCAGAAGAACTGAATGCATTAGGTTTATAGAAATACAATTTGTTTATAGAAATACAATTTGTCATAGTTAAATCTTGGAAACAACTTAAATGCTCACCAATGGAGGAATGGATAAAAAAGACTTGATAATGTGATATTTTTATACAATGGAGTATTACTCAGCTGTAAAAAAGATAAACTCAGGGCTTTTATAAGTAAATGGATACAGAGACCCTGCTCACAAGTGAAGTAAATCAGACCCCCATGTGTAAATATTGTATTGTCTTCCTAATGTAAGTTCCTAATGTAAGAACTTGAAAGAATATATAAAATCCAAAAGTTTCAGAAGATGGTATGAAACAGAAAGAAACTCTTCAAAGGAAAGAAACAGCTGTGATGAGAGAAAGGAGAAAAATGAAAAGAGAAGAGAAGGGAAGGGAAGGGAAGAGAAGGGAGGGGAGGGGAGGAGAAGGGAGGGGAGGGAAGGGGGAGGGAGGGAAAGGAAAGAAGAAAGAAGAAAGGAAAAATATATATGTATATACACAGGATAGCTTGAATAATTATACTGCTGATTTCTATTGGTTTATTGAAAATAACAGTCAATGTTTAATCATCTTTCTTCTTTTGAATTGTTTTCATCAACTTTGCATGCTTATATCTGATAATCTGAACCAGGAATTTGAAGACCACAACCCTTGCCAAATTCTGACATTGGCCATTTTCACTGCATTTTCCTCCACACACTTTGAGATCTTACTTTTCATATATATATATATATACAATTTTAGGGAAGGGTCTACAGTGTTCAGGGTCTCACTACTAGATCAGACTCCTAGTGCTCCGCCTGTTCAGAGCTCCCAAGAGCTGGGATTACAGGGGCATGCCACCACGCCCAGTTTCAATAGTTGTCTCATCCTGGGGGGGGCGGGGCAGGCACGGCAGGCTGGGGGATCGAACCCCTGGCCCCTGTGCCTGCTTGCAGGCCCTTTAATCCATGGAGCTATTTGGCTGACTCTATCAGGCTTTTCATCTGTCAAGTGGGCCAGATGAATGCAACAGACTTTCCTAGAAACTGCCAGAATGTGTCCCGAAAAGTTAAGAACTGCTAGTCCTTACCACGAGAAGACAGGGACTCTTAAGACCGCGTGGTTTCTTCTGCAGACTCAGGGACTACCAGGAGTCACTGCATGTACACCCCGGAGCATCGGCCATGCACACTCTGGGCTGGGATTGCTCACTCTGCTCTTCCCCAGTCGTCCCCTGTACTGCCGCTGTCCCTCCTCAGCCTCTCTCCTTCCTCCTCCTTCACCCAGATCCATCACAAAGCTTTGCCGCATCCTCATTTTAATGGAAATATGCACGTTTATTTGTTCATCCACTTTAAAGTAGCTTTTCATTTCCACCGGTTCAGTCTGTGCCTGTGCTACTCCCTTACCCCTGGCCCATCTTCACTGACTCCCACGATGGCTGCAACAGTGGGACGGGAGGGAACAAGCTCATTCCTGCCCACTGAGGAGGAAGGACAACTTGGGCACAAAGGGAAGGCAAAGCCAGGTGACAAACCCTCTTACCCCAGGGTGACAGAGTCTGGCAAGGAAGCGGGATCTGGGAGCTACGGCTGACCCCAGAACCATTCTCAGAGCCCAGAGCAGTATGAGCGCCTCACTGCCAACCCTGAACGTGTTAAAAATAGCTTCAGGCAGAACTTGTTATTTTCCTGGCCTATAAAATATTTAAAGGCCTATACATGCTCTTGGTGGCCTTTCTTTTGTGAATTTGCATCCTAAAAAAATTTGTTACCTTTCAGGCCTGGTAGTTGGAAGTGGTAATTCTGCACAGCAACATTGAAAACCTCACTGAACTTCATTAATTTAGGAAAAGCCTGTGTTTGCACATTATTTCCCCTACACAGGTATGGAGACTTGAAAAGGAGATTTTAGAAATTCATTTGCAAACATCTGGAATCAGGAAACCAGAAATTTTCTCCTTCTGGGATGGGAATGAAGAGAGGACAGGAGAGGGGAAGGGGGGGAAGGGGGAAAGGGGATGGGGGGAAGAGGGAGGGGAGGAGGGGAGAGGAGCAGGAGGGCAGGGAAAACCTTACCGTTTGTCATCCTTGTACCACTGGAATTCTGCAGAGGGAACCGCTGAAGCTTCACACTGTAGTGTCCCCTTCTGTCCCACAGGGACACCTGTACCCTTTGCTTCTGAAATGTAGGGCGGATCTGCAGAGAGATGTTCCACAGCACTTGAAAATGCATTTTAACACGAAACAAAAAAATCATCTCTCTTTCATGGAGCTGTTTTCTTTGCTCTCTGTGCTTCTTCTGCTGACTCGCTTCCTCAGATCACTGCAGGAATTACGTCGGAATGAAAACACTTTATCATTCTAAAGGAAAGCATGACCTTCCTAGCTCGCGTGGTTCCTGTTCTCCTCTGCACGCGTGACCAGCTCGCTGGGTCTGCTTCAGGTTTCAACTCTCTGGCCTTCCCAGGATGATGCCACCCTTTCAGCCCTGCACTCTACAGGTTGACAGTCAGCACTTCTAATCAACCTTATAGAGTTTCTGCACCCCAGTTCTTTCCAAAATATGCAAACTTTACCTATGCAATTCCCATCAAAAGCTCAGTTACTAGAAATAATATTCATGGTGAATTGCCTTAAGGATATACAGATCAGTCATTCTTTTTGGTATTCTACAATGGGCCACTGAATCCAGCCAAACCACACTAGATGTCCACACTTGCACGGGTGCTTTCCAAGTCGGCCAGAACCTGTGCAGTCCCAACAGTTTGCCTTGAGAGGCGTTGATAACAACCACCACAATAAACTCACTGTTGTGTGTTGCAGGGATATTGTCCATGATGCTCTTAAAGCACTCGATTTGAGGAGACCCCAAAGAGAATTTTTCTGGGGTCTCACTACCAGGAAAATCAGTGTTTCTCCCAAGAAAACACCTTGTTTTATGCTATGGACAAAAGAAATCTTCAGCAGATGTTTTTGCTTTTCTTTCCTAGTGCAAAGCAATATTGGCCAGAGTGGGCCTGCATCGAGCAGCCTGGTGGTGTGTATTTCAATATGCTGAGCATTCCTAGCTCTACTGATTTTCCCTAGGAGATGTTTCCTTTGCTTCTATTTCTCAACATTCGGATTCATCATTATAAGGTGTGAACCATCCTACGTCCTTTTCATAATAGGGTTAAAATTATAATAGCTTTGAAAAAGGCGACATGGTTACATCTGTTTCCTGGCTTCTTAAAGTGTTCGTGGAACTTATGCTCAATGGGAGTAGAAGCCAAAATACTAACCCCCGAGAGTCCTGCCTTGCGTGGAGTCCCTCCCTGCTTCCACCCACCCACATGCTGGAAAGGGGAGACTTCTCCGTGCTAGGACAGCTCCAGGGCTCCAGCCTGCCATAGACTTCCTGCCACGTGCACAGCAGAGAAACCTTGCAAAGTCACAGGGCCAGAGTGACGCTCAGGGCAGGGGTCCCCAAGGAGAAGGGGAAGGCAGGTTAGAAATGTGCACGGGATGGACCTAAGTGAGAGCCTGGATGTCTGAGAAAGAAGAAGGAGAGCTCCACCCCACCGGCTTCCCCGTTTGGACTCTGCACCTCTGTTATACAAAACAGATTTTGAGATACATCTTCTAGCATCTGTATCATCATGTGTTTGCATTTAAATTCTGTTGAATTCCCTGTATATTAACATTTATAAATGTGTAAGGATGACACTTAGTAACTGTGCTCTTTGTGGGAAAACTGAGGTTTCTTCATCCCCCCGAGCCCACCGTGGAGACATCCGGTGTGCAGGCGGGAAGCCCCACTGCGCCACGCGCGCACTGTGGGAGAACTCGGCCTGACAACGCCTTCATCTAGGCACGCAGTGCGTGCCCCTGGGCCATCTCGCAGCCACACGCCACGCTCGGCATTATGGGAAATTATTTTCAGTCTCCTTTTCGAGGCCGTGTGTTCTGCACTGTCTTGAGGTACCCTACACTTCGGCCTTGTTGCTCCTGAGAGCAGAACACGGGACAAGGTGACTCCCCACCCTGAGTTCGCAGCTGGCTCGGTGGCCGCTGTGGAGGCAGGACTCGTGCACGTGAAGGGCAGGGCGGTGAGGGAGCCCACTTACAGTTCACCGTGACCTTCACTCTCCGCACCACGGGCGCGGCCACGTCGTTGGAGGCGCTGCACTCATAGTCCCCGGACTGCTCCCGGGTGATGCCCTGGATTTCCAGGTACTCGTCCTCACTCACAAAGCCGACAGCTGCGGAAGAAGCGGTAGCGTGCAGTCAGACAGGAGGGAAGGAAAGACGGGAGCGGTAAACTTGAAAAGAGAAGCATAGAATGGTTGCCAGCGCAGAGAGTTGTGCCTCTTGTAAGTTCAGGTTCTTAGAAACCCATGCAGACTTTCCCTCCACGTCTCTCCTACCTTTTGGCCACCAGCTTCTCCTTGAACCTGGGGGTGAGCTGAAATGTCTGCGCTTCAGCTGAACTAAGTGCAGCATGGAAAGTGTGAAGGGTTCTAAGTAAGTGGTCGGTGGTTTGACAGCTAACACAGCCCAGGTCGCTTCGGGCTGCACTGCACTAGCATCTGAGTCAGGCACCTACTGCTTACTGATCTCAAGGTCACACTTAGGTAGCTCCTTGGATGTAGAGTTGCCAACTGCCTCACTGGATATGAGTCAATCACAATCGCCACACAAGCAGCACTCTCTCTCTCTCTCTCTCTCTCTCTCTCTCTCTCTCTCTCACACACACACACACACACACACATCCATACATGCACACAGACACCAAAGGCAGTGTGATATATAACTATTTTTAGAATAAATAATCAATTGCATACACAGAAATCAACTTTCCAAGCTTCAGTTTGTTAGATTTCTTAATTGCAAGAACCAAGTCAACAATGGGACACCAGAACTGACACCGCAGCCAAAACTGAGAAGAAGAAGACTATGAGGACATTCCTACAAATCTCACTCTGCCACTCAGTCATCTCAGTACTCAATTTCTCTAGTGACAGAACATCACAGTCAATAAGAAGATCCTCTGCTGATTAGATGGCACACACAACAATAAGTATTCAGTTCTGGAAAGAACAAGACATTGATGTCTAGAAGATAAAGGTCAATGTTCTGACCCCAAGTCACCCCTGAGCCATAGCTTTCTTGATGAAAGGAAAGGATTAACAGGCAAAGCATACATTCCCGGATTATCTTCCTTCATATTAATTGAAGATAATTAGGATGACAACATCCAAAACAAAGAACATTTTTGAAAGTAAAAATAGGGTATCTCCATTTATTATTGGACAATAAGCTTAATTTAAGACTATCCTAGTAATAGAGAAATATTTTCTTAGATTTGATGTACATTATAAGGCTAGTACATCATATTTATTTTGAGCTTTGAATTATGAATCAATGGACATGCACACATGCACACATACATATGAAGAGCATTGTAGAGGTTCTTATGTGCTGTATACTTGTTGATAAAATTATTAATCCTATAATCCTGGAGGTCTAGATTCAGATGGAGTAAAACTATATTCACATAAATAGTTCTCAAAAGAGATCAAAGGAATATTTCTACCTTGACCCTAAAATACTTTATCAGCCTGGGTTGCAAAATGGGCTTGAGGCCAGCCCGACCTGTATAGCAAGAACCTGTCTCCAAAACAACAAACAAATAAACAAACCCGCTTCATAATGCCACATTTTAGCTGGCCCTATGCATGAACTTGATGAAAATAAAAACTAATAGTATATCCTTAGATTTCTGGACTTATATGTAAACATAAGAAATGTACAATTCTTTAGGCCTATTTTTAAAATATATTTTAATTTTTTCAAATGCTTTTTCATCATATTCTTTAGGGACTTAAAGTTCAACATACCAATACTTGATGAAAAATATGTGTTCCATGTTATGCCTAATATTCAGACAGATAGTGAGGTTAAGCTTGACAGCCTAGGTTGTATGGTAATAACAATAAGCTTCACTTCTGGAAGGTTAACAATGTAAGTTTGCAGACCAGAATTAGAGAAAAAGGAGGGCCACAAGGAAAGCCAACATTTTGGCCCTAGCCTTCCAAGGACAATTAAGACTCAGGACATACGAGAACTTGTACTATAACGTCATGTAACTCGGTAGTGTCCCAAAATTTCTGATCAAGGAGATTATGGAGCCAAAGAGGAAAGTGATCGATGATGTAGAATGTACCTAAGAAGAGTTACATGGAGAGAAAACATTCTCTCAGGCTTTCACAGAGAGCACAATGGCCAAGCAATGGCTGTAACTCATCTACATGGCTGACACTGACAAAGGTTCTACAATCTGAGGTACAGGATCTCGGGATAAAGCCTGAGGGGATTTGACTGACCTTAACAGATCCAAAAGCTACAACTCTTGTTGCATAGGTCTTGCTTTATGTTGGTCTTAACCATCCAGCGGTAAAGTATAAAAATGAAGTATAAGAAGTAAAGCCATGCATGGTGTTATGTTGAGCTGTAGGGGACTCAGGTCAAGAATTTCTGACATTGCCAGTCAAGCGGAAGACCCAATACTATTATGGACTATTGGACGCTTTTAGAATATTTTGCTGTGTTAACACAACTATAATGTTCAAATGGTGGAACTAAATAAAAAAGGGGATACAGACGAATGTCCATTTTGTATACGTATATTCAAAATGGTTAGGATAGATATATAGTTACATTCTCTTAATGAATAGAGGGATTTGTTCTAATAGTATTTGAAAATAAGTTATCATGTCTGCAACTTGTACAGCAAATAACCACTAGGAAGAATGTATGTAATGTGTTAATTATTGAAACTGTCCTACCAATTTGATTTGAAACTGTCTCATTGCTATTTGTTTCTCAATAAAATCATGGAAAAAAAACCTCTAAAACTAATAGAACACAGTGAATGACACATGACACATCTGGTGTGTTGTTATGGTTGTACTTTTCTTTTACTACCATGTTAAGATCATCATTTTTGAAAACAGTAACAATAGCACTGGCAACATCAATGAAACAAGCCTCTTGTCAAGAAGAAGGTCCACAACTAGTCTCGTCCTGCTGCCAGTCCTTGGTCATGACACTGGCACTGACGAACAGTAGCCTGCATCTGGGCGTTTCCTCGCACTAGATGGGACCTATGCTCAACACATAACTGCTATGGCACACAAGAAAGGGATGTTGTATTATCAGGAAAAAAAAGCAGCAGGAGCAAGTTCATAACTAGAAGAAAAAGCCCAGCATAATCATCAATATGCGCCAACTCAGACTCCTACTTCCGACCTGAAAGACACTTGTAGTTCTCCATGTGGCCCTTGTCATCATTGTCCCATACAGAGATTCATGGATAAAACAAAGCAAAGTGGAATCTTGGTGGAGGCAGTAAGAGTTGCAAGTAAAGAATTTGTGGTTGCTCCTCTATTGTCATTGTTTATTTGCTACCAACCACAGGCCTACATTTGTCAGATCTTTCTGTGCTAGAATGCTATAATTACTGTGCAAAACATCTCAGAGACTCGTGTCACACTTAATATTCCCATTAATTTTAAATGGTAGTCCTTGGTACATATCTGTGGCAATTGGTGTCATATTTTAATTAGGCTTGCCCTACACCATCTGAAATTAATAATAGCTGGAATAACCAGTGTAATTTATAAATTAACAGTGCTGCAGCATTAGGAAATACATTAGCTCTGGCCCGCTGCTCTGGATGGTGCTCCGGCGCCGTGGCAGCAGACGTTGGACCTCACGTCTCCAGGGGACTGTGGGGTACACTTCCGAATCAGAGACACAGAAGATGTGGGGTCCTCCTTGCTCGCACTCTTCTCTCCATCTCACAACTACGCTGCTTTGTTTTCAGTTCTACGATCCAAACATGCTCTGGTGTGACCACACCAAACTTAGGACCTAATATTTGATGAGCTTTTTCAGTGGATATCCAAAGAGGGAAGGAGAAGCTTGGGAGGATTACAGTAAGATCAAAATTTAAGTGCACACATGTTACGATAGGGTAAGCCCTATCAAGAACTCAACCTGCTTGCAACAGGGAACTAGGCGTATGAAGAGGTGCATACTTTCATTCACTTCTGTCAGGTGATGTATGTTCTGCAAGGAAGGAAATCAAGCAACGCTTAAGATCTGGGAGACGCAGAACGTCTTTAGTTCTTCATCTTTCTATCACTGGGAAGAGGGACTGTGCAGCCAAGTCCTCCTGGATAGACCAATGTGGCATCATGCTCCCTAGACCAAGTACGGAACTCCAGGGAGAACGCAGTGGTGTCATCGCTCCCCAGGTGTTATACCTTCACCTTCTGATTAAATTGGGAAAAATATCAAAAGCTATTTGTGGATGTAAAAGTGTTTCATGCATCTCAGCTTTATTGGCATTAGTTCCACCCTTCTTTGGTACATGTTTTTCTCTATGTGGCAAAACCAGAGAGATGAATCCTGTACACACAGAACACTAAATTTGAGCTGCCAGAAATGAAGCTCTTGTGTGTGCTGCTTAAAAACAAAGCCCACTAAAATGGAAATGTGGATTTTATAGAATTAAAGAATCAAGAAAAGGTTTCATCTAACAGCATTTTTACCCCAGGTACAAATTGATCAATGCTTTATCACTGGCATGAAGAACTTAAAAAGAATGTTGAAGGGAGAAAAAGAACAGCTCAATGGAGCAGACTTTTTAAGTATTGCAGGATTCTTAAGAGAACCCAGCGGGAAGAGGCAGAACACCTGACAGAGTCCAGTGAAAAGAAACTCTTCGTGGTCAATAGCTTTTTATTTATAACTCTGATTTGTCCTCTTCTAAAGAAAATGCATCCTTCGGTAGAAAGGACACTTATCTTCTTAAAATATCACCTTCCTCATGTTATAACTCTTCAAACACCAAAGTGCCTCCTTATTTTCTGTAACTTCCCGTGGCCTTATTGCTAGAATCCTCTGCAAGGGATCATGCGTCTCCTCACCCAAACTTATCTTGAATTAGTGCTGTAAGGACAGGAACAGATTATTGTTGCAAAGAGCAACAAATAGGGATCAGACAAAGCCAGTCCTTTGCCTTCTAGCTTCAGAATGAGAAAAGTTACACGACTCTGCAACCTCATTTCTTAACCTGCACAAGGCTGAATAATATTGCACACCTCTCGTGTTGCTTTGAAATACAGTAGATGGACTGCACTGGGATGCAGCTGGCATAGGACCAGAGGACAAACGCCCAGTGATGGCGACTACC